CTAGAACATATTTCTCCTGAAAATTACCTTTTTGGGAAAAATGTATGAATATTAAAGAACATACTCTGCCTAATGCCAAGGATAGAACAAGTGGAATGGGCTGCTCTATTTGGTAATTATTTGCCAGATGAAAAATATGGTCTGTGTGATTACTCTCTCAGCTGGCCTAGCTGGGGAGATATTTGAAGTGGCAATTATTTAAGCATGAAGTTAAATTTTAATCTTGAATATTCAGTCAAGTTTGCTGTGCATGTATTGCTGTCCTCCATAGCGAACCCATGGTTAAATGTACTTTGCCTGAACAGAAAAATGTACCATTTGAAGTAAATCATTCAGTTTATCCATTAAGGGAATCTACAATTGATACTTTTGCAAAAGCTGCTATTGAGAAAAAGCTTATTGTGTTGAGATTAATTCAGTACATTCCACCCTTATAAAAGCTTAAAATAAGCCTTTGAAATCTTTTGTACTGAGCTAACGTGTTTTTCTTTTGGTTTCATTGGTTTTTTTCCTGAGAGGAAGGCTTACAAAAGCATTCTAGTTATATAAAAAATGCATTTGAAATCACTGAAAATCTATTAAATTCTGATTAAACCTTCTCAGTTCAGTTAGGGTGTTTAATAAATGGCCAGCATCCCTTTTCCAAAGTTATTGAATTTTTCTGTTTCAAAGTTTTTGGTGTTAATTTCTTGGTCATCCCCTGAATTAGTCCCTGCCCTGTAGAACTTCCAGAATACCATATCAAAGCAACTGGAGAGGAGAGGAGAGGAAAAAGAGAGATAACACTGTCTCACAGCTGTACTCTGAAAAATGATATTTTTTGGTTATGCATGTCCTGAGCCAATCCCTAAGATTGTTGTTGGCCTTTGGTATATAACTCTGCATTTCTGAATAGGCAGTACATATCAACAAGTGAACACTTCAGTAAGAATGGTCCTTCCTGCATTGCTTCTCTTTTGTTGTAATAACTGCACTTATTCCAAATTATTTTCTGTTTATTTTTATTAATGCTAATTCTTCATTTGAGGACAATTCTTCTAAGAATGTGCTAATTTTATGAGTACAACACGTTGGTAAAATCACAATTTCCTGTGGAAAGACCTTTATGTACTAAAAATGGCCCAAAATGGCCCCCATTCATTTTTGCAACTTGTTTGTCCTTAGTGGGAGTCCAGAGGACCTTTTAGTGGATGTAAGTGGAAGTTGTAATGGACTATAGAGCATGGAAATATTGATTGAATATATTGACTCATGCTTACTCAGGAAGATAGGGAGATAATAGAACTAAATAATTGGTAAAAATGTGAACTGACGATTTAGACTGTAAATTCTGCATTCTAGATCTAGGAGAGAACTTTCTTTAATTCACTCTTAAGGGCTTGATTAATTCACTAATTGGCAAAGAGGTAGTACCACCTTCTCAACCTCTTCTCTGGAAATCTTTCACTACCTCTGTTAGGCAGCATGACTGATCAACAAAGATGTACTTTTTTTTTCTCATAGCCATTATCTAATTTTATTTTTTTTTTAATTTTCTTTTCTTTCTTCTCCTCCATAGTACATCTGATATATTCCTCAGGGAATAGAAATACATTTCTGACTAGTGCTTTACTATATTTAAAATTCTGATTAAATGAAAAAGAGAGCTAGAAATTATCACTACTTGAATTTTGAAAAATTATTCTTGGCAAAAAAACACAGTACTGTGACAAGAAGATCAGGTTATTAGTTACTATGACTGCAGTATTAATTGATTGCTAAGCTGAAATGCCATGGGACATGTCTTGCTTATTCCCACAACTGTCAATGAAAGTTCTACTCATGGAATGAATAGAATTAAATAACCCAAGCCTCCCCCTTTCCTTCCCACGCATATCTCTTCCTCGTATTGCATCTACTTAACAGGCTAATGATATATGAGCAAAATATGTGTATGTGACCCTGGAATTCTGACTTTAAATTGAAAAAAAAGTATTTTCTGTGCCACATTTTGGTAGAGCTCTTTTTGTTGTTTTGTTTTCTAGCATTTTTCTGTGTTCCTTCATGTTATGAAAGAAAAATTAAAGCGTGTGTCTTGGCCTCTATTAGTGTATATATATTTATTTAATTCAGCTGGGATATTTGAGTTCATGCCTCCTGGTTGAATGACATTTATCTCAGCAGAGTTTTACTTAAGACTGATTGTGGAGCAACTATCTAGCTTTAGAATGCCCACAGTCTCTGATCTTCAGGTTGGTTGATTTGGAGGCTGAGGCTATGGGCCTTGTAGTCACTCCATTCCAAACACTTGCTAAGCCAGTGGCTGTATAGTTTGGCAGCTATAATCACGTGTCCATTAATTTTTCCAATGCCATTTTTGAACCTATGTGGCAGTTTATATGTCTTGAAATGTCACAAAATTATATTGCAGTTTACAAATTACATTTTGCAATTTGCAATTACAAGTTAGATTGTAAAATCTTGCAAAAAGCCTTGTAATAATTCATAAGAAGTTCAGTGGTTTGATTGTGTGCCTTTGTTTTGAACCTGTCTTTTGATTTTATTTGATCTTCATCCCCTTTATTTTTTTTTTTAAAGGCATAGAATGCTAGAATGGGTTGGAGTGTGATGAATGACTAGCCCTTGTTTCCTCTCCTTAAATGTTGATTCAATTAGGCACCTGAAAGAAGCTAATCCTTTTTGAGAAGTTATTAATCTTATGTGATGATGAATCTGCAAAATTTTTTGCTTGCAAAATAATTCTGTGTTGCAGTTGCTTTCCTAGTTATTTAAGTTAGGAGCAGAACCACTGAAACTCTCTCTCCTCCCTGGGATGTTGTTCAGCTATCTCTCATCAGAGAGCAGTGGCCTCATGAAAAGTACAGATTAAATGAACACTTATTTCAAATACTACTTTCTCTGTTCCATCTTCATGAAGTAATTCCGCTTACTGTCATTTACAGACTGAAGTAGTCCTCCTACTTTACAGACGAATGGTTAGAAAGATTAGAGAAACTGCAGTGTGTCTTGCTAGTCTTAATTTGTACTCCAGCGGCTCATATCTGCAGAGCTCAGAGCTTGATCCCAAATTTAGATCTGCATCCGATTATAGCAAACTGATGTAGAACTCTGATTCCTGTTGCACAGGTGGAATATGTGGAATATCCCGGCAGCATGCTCTGAGGCAGCCTAATGCTTATGGTCCTCTAATTGTGGGAATATCTGCATCTCATTTGAATAACAGCTGGAATAACTACAAAAATATATTTTAGGGATTGTAAGGTTTTTTCCTTGTTATACTAAAAACATATCAAATGTCAAATATTCCTCAGAATTATAAACGTACTGATTTCTTCAGGGATATTTAATAGTGTTAGACTAGCATGGATTGAAATAGACTACAACATAGGTTTAAGTTTAGGCTATAAAGCAAATTTATAGCCTTTGAATTTTGGCCAGTCTCAGCCTTGGTTCAGTTTTGCAAGATGATTTGCTCAAATCCTTTCCTTCACACAAGTCCTGCTCTTCCAAATTAAGTTTCTGATTTGTTGAAAGTTTCAAAATTCGTGTTCATTCTGCTCTTCTTATACTCCATGTTAAAGAGCCTTCCTAGCTTGATAATTCTATGCCTCTGAAAAATAGGAATGTTTCTACTCTTCCTTCAGTAAACTGGGGAAACATGAGGGGTGCATTTAACGTTTTTTTTAAACCCACTTAAAGTATCTCACTGTCAGCTAGATGGGCTGCTGAAACTGAGCACAAATATGCTACTCTCACTGTTCACCAATCATTTATATGATTCTTCTGACATGCTTCCTATTTGGCATCTTCCCATAATCCCTCAGATAGCATTAAATTTATGTGGAGATTCTTTTGAACTATACCACACTCAGGCTTTCCTTATTCATCCATATTTCAGAAAGGCAGCACTAGAGAATAGACCTAATCAAATAATGTCTGCAATTCAATTGGTACCACTTTCAAGAAAATATTTTGAAAGGGTGGCATGCTTTGCATATATTCAGGTCATCCTAACTCTGGGGTTTCTTGCATAACTGAATGAAGTAAAAATTGATATCAGACTAAATAAGGGACTTGTTTCCTGGAAACCCCAGTAGTCTGACTGATAAGGGCAAATAACTGCACGAAAAAGATCTATAGAAGTGTGGAATGGAAGTGTTCAGTATGTTTAAAGAGTTACATGTTTCCTCTAAATAAACTGATGACCTCTAATTCACTTTTGTCGAAGTGAAGTTTCTTTTTAATACTTCTGTTTTGCAAGAGCTATATATAACTTTTCTAGCTTTTTGAACTGCTAACAGCTGAAAGCTGACTTGCAATCCAATCATGTATAATATCTTTACTGCTATGACTTTGTTACCCTGCCGTCAATAGGAATACAGATGTCTACATAGAAGGAATTAATTCTCTTCAATAAAGGAATTAATTGTCTTTAAAGCTTTTATTGTGATGGAATAGCATGATGAGCATGTGTACAGGGTGTTCATTGACATTCATTCACCACATCATTGCTATGTAGCACCACTTACTTTTGCAAGTAGCAAAACAATTCTTGTACCATTTTGGAGGACAGATCAATAGATCAAAGGTGTTCTCAGTTATAGCAACAACCCTGCTGACATTTCTGTCAGTTACTATTTCAGAAGCCTTCTTGGGATTTTATAGCTCATTGATTACTCTTCAATCCACCACAGCTCTGACAACTTAGTAGAAAAATCTTTTCTTGTCTTCAGCTGAGTAACTTGAATTTTGTTGTCTTTTACCTTCTGAAATGTGAGCAGTGGGAGAGAGAAACAATATCTGCTGTGTACAGCTTCCCCTTGGTCTCAGTCCATCTGCCAGAGAGAACGATTTGTGACAAGCTGAGTTGGTCCTACAGTCAACCTAAGCTCCTCTTAAATCAAGCTTTTTAGCTGTTCACCTGTCTGTACTCTTGTTAGGTCCGAGGTCTTGTTGGTTACCTTCTATAAATTTTTTTGTAGGAAACTTTTAGACACTGAAGATGAACTCTCTGACATCCAGTCAGATTCGGTCCCGCTGGAAGTGCGGGACTGGTTAGCTTCTACATTCACGAGAGAAATGGGAATAGTGAAGAGGAGACCTGAGGAAAAGCCCAAATTCCGAAGCATTGTGCACGCTGTACAGGCTGGGATTTTTGTAGAAAGGTGAGAGCTTTGTTTTCTTGTTACAGCAAGTACTGCATTTAACCACAGTGTTTGCCACTGAAGACCCTTCAAATGGTGGGATGAACCTGAAGCAAATCTTTGTGCCACAATTGGTGTTTCAATTTCTGCAGTCATTCCATTTTTCTATACAGAATTCCAGATGAAACCTTGGAAAATTCCAGGGATGAATTCAATGGCTTTGTAACTTCTATACTAAATTGTATCAAAGACTGTTCTAACATTACAGAGTAATATACTTGCAAAGGGGCTTTTCTCATGACTTCGTAAAAGATTACTTAAATCTTTGGGGTCAGACCCTTAAATAGATTCATGTTATTTCACAAACTCTGAAAGAAAAATTTAAAAAAGATAAATTGTTCCAATATGTTTTCAAAAAATACTATTTCTTAATATTTTATTTGTTCTTCTAGGATGTACCGAAAAACTTCAAGCATGGTTGGTTTGGCTTATCCAGCAGAAGTGATAGTCACATTTAAGGTGAAAGAAGTTTAATCATTGTGAAATTTGAATGTATTTGCACTTGTGTTTAGTGATGTTTAGGGTCAAATGAGTATTTTTCTACTGGACATACCCTAGCCATAGTTTGTACTACAGAACTGGGCACAAGCAACAGAGAGAATAACAGTTCAAAATTCAAAAATAACACATGATTCTGATTAATTCCGATTTCGTTTAGATCCTACTAGAGCAATAGAATGAAATTTTTATGGAAGTTCTTATAGAAATTTGAGACAGTTTTATCAGCTCCCAGTGGTATCGTAATCAGCATCTCAGACAGCAGCATTTGTTTCCTTTTTAGGAAAGAAAAAGGAGATAGTATTGAGATAGAACCAACAAAAGAAGCTGAAGCTTATGGAACAAGTACAGTGTTTGCTGTAAATTTAAGGTATTACTCTAGTTCAGCCAAAAGATGATCTTTTATAGTAAGCTAAGTTCCTATGTCTTTGAATGCAATTAAAAACTAGTATTTCTTGAGAAAGGAACACCTCAATTTTTCCCCTGAAAGCCAAACAATTATATTATTCTCATATTGCTTTATGTTTAATGACATCAGTGTTAATGCCATTGCATAATAGCCTACTTGAAGGGTGATATTCAGAGTAGCTCCATAGACAATTTGTGCTGAGAAAGTTAAACCTGAAAGATTAAGACCTTTGATTCAAAGCATGCAAAGTGGCCTCAGTCATGTTGCAAGTATTTTATTCAGAACTGACACAATTGTTTTCATCGTTAATATTGATGTAGTCATTAATGTGTTATCTACATTAGGAATTTGAAAGAGTTGGATAATAGAACCACCAAACTCTCCCTTTTCCCTCTAAATGCTAGCCAAATGTATGGAAATGCAATGCTTTTTTTTTTGTTTTCCTTTTCCCTCATCTACAGGATGTTGATAAGTGGTCTTTTGATGTATTTGCCCTTAATGAAGCAAGTGGAGAGCACAGTCTGAAATTTATGATGTATGAGCTGTTAACCCGATACGACCTTTTGAGCCGTTTCAAGGTCAGGAACTAACCACAAATAAAAATATGTATGCAAAAATTCATGTGTCAAATTTAAAATACAAGAAAACCAGTATTAAAATGTTTTTTTAATTGTGCAATGCAGTATAGAATTTCAAAGAATATGGCAAATGAAATATTATAGAATGCCAATAGTTCTACCAAATGAAACTACACCCAGAACATGCAAATTTTTATGCAACCCAAAAAATGGAAATCTATGTAGACCCTTTTTATGTCACTTGTGTTACCTAAATAGATTATGTATTCAGAGTATTTACTTAGCAGGTCTGAACCAGTGTCCTACCTTTATTGACCAAAAATTACTAAAAAGGCAGAAAACTAATTAGTCCTAAATACTTTTTTCATGGTCTGGATCATGATATGTTGATTACCACTGCACAGGGGCTTCAGCTGAACCTTCCTCTCCTAAATGACCTGGGGGGATATATAAAGATAAAAATTACTTTTCCAAGATGTTTGTAGGGTTTTGCAATACAATATGGAGTCCTTATAGCCAGCTTTGAAAGGCTGAGGTAGAAAAATGGATCAAAATTATAAATTTATTGTTATAGTACCAAATGGAAGTTTTCTTATAGTTTCAAAATCTCTTTACTGCAAAAACTCTGTGTTCCTTTTGAAGAGGCTGTCTCACCCTGAAGTTTCTTGAATATTTTAATTTTAGGCTGGCAATGCAGCTTTTTCCAGCAGGCTTTATTTTCTTGAAGTCAGAACCACACCAGGGCAACCATTATAACACAGGCATGAAGTACACAGTGCTAGTGGCAGAGTGGGCTTAAACCCATTCTCAGCCCCATTGTTTAAGCTGCAGGGGTTTTAAATAAATAAATAATTATTAAGGGATATGTAATTTCATTAAATGGGTTCAGTGGTTTATCCCCAGGCAGCAAATAAGTACCACACAACCACTCACTTGCTCACTCCTTTCCCCAGAAGGATGGGGGAAAGAGAATTGGAGGCGTAAAAGTGAGAAAACTTGTGGGTTGAGATATGTACAGTTTAATAATGATGGTGATAATAATAATAATATAGAAAATTAATATTTAAGAGAGACATAGAACCCAAGAAGAAAGGCTGCAAATGAAGGCAGTTTCTCAGCAGCAGCCGCTGAGCGCTGCCCAGGCAGTCCCCAGGCAGCAGTGCCCAGCCAGGCTCCCCCAGCCTGGTGCTGGTGACCATGAGGCCGCATGGAGCGTCGTCCCCTGGGTCAGCAGGGCCAGCTGTCCTGGCTGGGTCCCTTCCCAGCTTCTTGTGCAACCCAGGCTACCCAGTGGTGGGTGGGATGGGGAGCAGAAAAGGCCTTGACTCTGCAGTCTCTGCTCAGCAGTAACTAAAACATCCTGGAGTTATCAGCTCTGTTTACAGCAAAAATCCAAAACATTGACCCACACCAGCAACTATGAAGGAAATTAACTCTATCCCTGCCAAAACCAGCACAATGCAAAATAAGTGGGACCAGCTAGTACCTGTACTTCACACATTGCCTGGAGGAAGGAAAGTCTTACTATGACATTCAAGCAAACCTTGTCTCAAGCAAGCAAGGTAAAACTGGTAAAGGAGATACTTGTATTGTTAGACTCCAGTTTGTCATGTCTGTATTATACATGCAATCTATGAATCCCAGACAGATGCATGAAAGATGCAGAAAGATGCAGAAATATGCAGAAAGATGACAGATGCAGACAGACATGCATTGAAAACCTTTTGGTTGATAGCTCTGCAGCCTCTTGTGCATGGTGTATGTAGAGAGATATACATCTACAGAAATTGTGTGGAGATTCACTGGTGCATGTATGATATCAGACCTTTACATTTTAAATTTTTCTTTTATTGTTTGCCCACTGGATCCCATGGTATATTATTTGTGATTCATTTATTGTATTCTTGACTTTGCAGCTGTCGCAGAAAAATATCAATTATTTTAATGTTTTTTTGTCTGTAGATCCCTGTTCCCAATCTTATTTCTTTTGCTGAAGCTCTTGAAGTTGGTTACAGCAAATACAAAAATCCCTATCACAATTTGATCCATGCAGCTGATGTTACTCAAACTGTGCATTACATAATGATTCACACTGGTATCATGGTAAGAAGTATTGTGAAGTTCAATTTACAATTTTTTCTCAGACTCTGCTGTTTTGAATAAATGTGTACATGTTTCTTTTCTAAAAGGAAAAAGCTCGGCTGAAAATCTTGCGGCAAGAGATACAAGAACTACTGTTCAGGCTGTGAACTTTATTTCATTTTAACAGTTCTTCCAGGCTGAACTTCTCTCAATGCAGAAGGAAAGAGGAAGGGAAAAAACCATCCTTAAATCCTTTTTGCTTTTCATCGCCTGGATTTAGGTATTTTAGATCATATTTAATGAGATAGATTTTCAGGAGTGGGCAGGTGAGAATTTTTTACTTTCACATCAGAGCATGGGAGGTGTGATCAGGGAAGGAAGCTTTAGTATCTGCCGAGGTCCTGGCTGTTGAAAGATGTACTGAATCAGTGCAGGCTTAGAATTATATCATCATCGAATGGCTTGGGTTGAAGGGACCTCCAAGACAACTCAGTTTCAACCACCCTGACATAGGCAAGGACATCTTCCTCTAGACAAGGCTGCTCAAGGCCCCATCCAGCCTGGCCTTAAACTCTGAAAACTTCTTTTCCTTTCAGTTTTTAACCTTCTTTAGCACTGATCTTGCATACTCCATGTGCCTTTAGTAGGCAGGCTATTGTATTTGCCTTAAAATATCTCAGTATTTTTAATTATTTGTTGGGGAATTGAAATGAATCTGTTCATTTTTATTTCTAAACATCTATCTTAAATTTAATACCTGCAGCAGAATTCTCTTCACTATCAGCTTGCTAGACAAAAGTAAACACTGACTAAACCTAAATGGACATTCCTGTCGATGGCTTTTTGATAATTTGTCTTCATTGTGAATATAGTTGTTTAAAAAACCCCAATGCACCAAAGAACAAACAACAAATGAAACAGCTGGGAAGAAATAGTGTCTGATTTCTGTTTGCAGAGCTGTGAAACAATTCCAGAAGACTCTGGAAAGGAAAAATTTAGAACTGACTGGATATTTTTGCTCCTATATATACACAATAAATGACAGTCAATCACTTTTGTTAAACTTCTTCTCACTTAAAATGCCCTTGGCTTCAGGGTGGGCAAGGAAAGGTCCCCAGACCTTGCACGTTTTCACTCCACTGTTTGAAGGAAGTATTTTGCTTGTAAGTGTTTAAAGCTATATTTTATCTCTAATACTACTTCTTAAGTGAAACCTGGAGTCTTCACCAGCCAAGATTCCTTTTCAGATTGAGAAGTTTTCTTGAGAAAGCACTTCCATATCGGACTGAAGAAGAGGCTAGATAGCTCTTGCCAAGAGGAGTCCAAACGTTGGTGTACACAGTATTCACCTGTTAAAATAATATTTTAGTAAAAGAAAATTCTTGAAGATATTATATTAACTGCAAGAGTTAAGTGATGTGAGCCTTGTCTTTCTTGCAGGTTTACACCTGGATCAGGAGCTTACCAGGAGGAAAATCCTTTTGTTTTATTATAAACATCCCTCTGCCCTTAAAAAAAAAATTTAAAAATTCAGATTTTCCTTGTGATACCAGGACAAAGTTCCAACTTCCAGAACTGTCCTAGTAATTTTGGGATGTTTAGCCATTGATTGAACCACTTTGAAAGACACTTTGTGTATCTCTGAACACTGAACAAAGGAATCTGTATCATATTTGTATATCTGCTATTTCACTGCATGCACATGACTGTGAGAAAGACCTTTCCAGCACAAGTATTACAGTATTAGCATCTTAACCTTAACTGCCTTAGATGTGATTTGGACAACTATTTTCAAAAAAGTTTAGACGTTACTGCTGCAAAATCTCATTAATATTGCAACAAAGCTACAAAATATTTCTGTAAAATTAGTCCATGTTTAATTCACATTTTAATTACCAAATTATGATATTGAATTGTGATATTGCTCTGCCTGTGACAGGGGGGATTGGAATTAGATGATCTTTAGGGTCCCTTCTAACCCTAACCATTCTATGACTCTCTGGTGCTGTAGTACTGGAAAGTTCTTGGAAAGAAATCTAACTAGGACACCACTTAGTCAAGAGTGCCTTCAAACAGATGTACTTGCCAGGCAGAAGGAACATTTATGGAAATCAGTGTTTGAAAGAGGGCCTAGTGATTCTGCAGCTTGCAAAGTATTTCTCTCCCAAATGTCACTTGTAATTTGAGAAAGCATCAGTATCATGAAAACGTTCTATTTAACTTGCTGGATTTTTTTTTCCTGTTGCCTGGTTAACCCTCCAGTACCCTACTCAATAACAATTTGGAATTTGCTTCTCAAGCCAACAGTTTTCAGAGCATGACCCTTGTAAAACTTCTTTTAAACTCTGCTGTATTTCTAATAAATACCTGGATTAGAATAAATCTGATGCAATACTAGATCGAGTTCATCTGAGGTTTTTGTTTGTTTGTTTGTTTTTGAGATTGATTTGAAATTTGAGGGGTTTGTGTTTTCATTGTCTCTTAAGGACTTAGTACTGACTCCAAATCTTGCAGAGTTTCTGTCTTCGTCGTTTATTTCTGAAACACATACTGAAGCAAACATTTCCAAAATCTGGGGCTTAGAAAATCTTTTTTTCATGATTCCTGTTGTTGAGGTCATATGTTTTATACCTTTTATAGGAAGCTGGAAAACAACGATATTTCCACATTTGCCAAAAAAATTTGGCTAATCAGAGTTTATGCTTCTCCACAAGCCCCTAGAGAGATTCTGGTGAAGAATAAGACATATTCAGAGCTGCTGTTAAAGAAATAAAATAATCACTATATTTTTCAAAAGTTGCTGTCTATCTTAAGAAAGAAGATCCAGCCACCTCAGATCAATGTGTTAGAATGTTAGATATCACAGATGGCAGACAGTCTATTAACCTTCCCGAGAGATTAAATCCCAGATGATGCAACTGAAATGTATAACTCAAGCTTGCATTTATGAAGTTTTCATCTTTATAAAGATTTAAGAATCCAAGTCCCAGGGAATACATCTTGTAAAGAACTTTTGAGTCATCGATCATCTTCCCACCATCCCTTTTCTCCTCCCACATACCTGTATTGCTCAAAGTAAAGGAAGAAATGTCTTTACTGCCAATAAGTGCATTGTGAGACTTCATTTCTTACTCAGTTTTTAATCCATCATTGTAAAAAAAAAAAGTTTCAAACAGAAGCCATAAGTTGAAATGTATCTATTTACATATAAGCAATGCATATATTTCTATAGAAGACACAATTTATATTAGCTATGACATCCGCAAGATATAGTATCTTTCAAGAGGGAGGAAGGTTTCAGCTCTTCTCAGTCTTGCAGACCCCCATCTACTTGTTTTTCCCTCTCCCTTTCAGAAACACACTTATAAACTGCCTCCATAAGAGTTTTACTCTACTTCCTTAGAAATCCTTTAGCTAAAGTAGTTCTCTGGTTCTCTGATTTAATTACTGATTTCAATTTTGACTATACTAGTGTGAGTAGAATACTTGCTCTTCTCTATTAATGTATGAAATCTCTGTGTACCATAGATATAGCCTCTGAGGAATGTTCTTCTGCTTATGAATACATTGTTTAACAACTCTTATTTGCTACAAAAGCTGACCTTTGAAAAGGCATCTTAAAGAAAAGTTTATGTTTTAGCTTTCATTACACTTGCTGTGTTTCTGTTCTATTTGGTATGTTGAAAACATTGTGAGAGCCAAGACTGGTCATGGCCTGGTTCCTTGTGACACACAATATGATGAAGGTCATTGTTTCCATTTTTAGAACTGCTTACAGTACATTCTCATTCCTCTGTCTGTGACCTTTCTAAATCTATACTGCTTCACCAACAGCCAGCACTTGATCCTCAGCAGCCCTATTTTGTCACTGAACGACCTATTTAATTATTCTCACTTTGCTAATGAATCTTGACTCTTTTCTTTCTTCTTCTTTGAAAGGAGAGCTACTATTGGCAGCTTTTAGTACATGTGACAGCCTATACATTTCATATCCATTCATACACACGTGTGTGCATATTCGGTGCATGAAGTTGAGATTATTCTTTCATCCTTTAGTACAGAAGCTTACTTGTACACCAAAACCATCTGAAATATGTGTGGAAATGCTTGACTAGCATTTGACTTAATCAGTCCTATGACTGTGGGGGTTAATTATTATGTGATTTTTCTGCCCCCATCTTTAGATGGAGTAAATTTTCTCCTCAAGGACTTTTTGTCATTCAAGAAATAGAATTTGAAAGATGACAACAGAGGTTATTTTACAAACTGAGCCATACAGAACAGCCTTATTTAGCAAGAGTTATAGAAGGGCTCAAAACTCCAGGATCTGCATTATTTTGTATACATGACCTACATTACCTTTTGTTCTGTGTAACTGTATACTAACTGCATACTAGCCTCAAGCACTTTTTTTTTTGTATCAGTACAAAATATGATAAAATTTAGAACAGAAAAATCTCCCATGGGCCTAATTTTAGTGCTGTGTACACTGGTAGAATATAGATAATGCTAATTTTGTACCTTCAATTCATAATTTACTGTATATATAGTTTACTAAAAGAAAAATTATAACCTAAACTTCATATAAGTTTTGTTTTAGATTAATATACTGTAATTTGGCAAGTGCCATGTGTGGGCCAACAGATTAGATACTCTAAGGAGTTGCAAAGTGAACTGTGTAATTCTTTTGATAACTTCTTGTATTTTTGGCGGCCAATATTTACTTTGCTAGTGACCATAAGGATGTTATCTTGGTCTCAGAGAAATCACAAGGACTGATTTTATCGTGTAGTACTGAAGTGTTATGGATATATAGTTATCTGGAGTAAGACAAGAGGAAAGTTTATTTAATTTGAAGGTAATGCAAAACATTTTCAGTACTGTAGGGTTTAATCTAAGGCTGTTATCGAAAATGTGACTATGATTTGTTTTTCATTTATCAGCACTGGCTCACAGAACTGGAAATTTTAGCAATGATCTTTGCAGCTGCTGTCCATGACTATGAACATACTGGGACCACAAACAATTTTCATATTCAGACAAGGTAAGTGGTGCAGTCTCCTAAGAGTCATATCTGGAGTTTGCAGTTCATTCAGTTCTTTGCTGAACTGTTTCATAACTCTTACTAATAAAGCCAGGAAGTAGCCAGGTCAGTCCTGGTTTTACAAATTGCTTCCTCAACCTCTGTCCAGTTAATGGGATCAGTCACATGATCAAAAACTGTGGAAAAGTAATAAGATAGCTCCATAATGTCTGAAATAATTCCATTTTGGAGCTGATATGTCAAGAGAAAGTTTGAAAAGGTTCAGAACATGCAAAACATGGGCTTGAAATCCCTTCATCCCTCTATTTGCTCTCTTGAATTCTGGTACTACTGACTCAAAAACTTATACTGTATCCCCATAAAAATGCCTCTTCACTCACAGCAATGTGCTTACATTTTGTTTCACCTTGTGTACTAAACTTAGAGGGTCCTGGTGCAGAGGGAGAAACTTTCAAGTACAGCTTTAGAAATACCTACCATGAGCTGTCTCCTAGCATGTTTTGAAAGCAACTTCAGTTGATATGAAAAATCTAAGAAATAATGCAGTTTGAAAGTTAGGCTAGCTGTGTTCTCCCGCAGGTGCAGCATGTCATTCTAGCTGCTGGTCCTGTACAACAGCATATAGTTCTCTCCCTTCAAATATTTCCATCTTACCAATGAGAAAAAATTATGCATCTGATGCTTAACCTAGTACAAACCATCTTATTTTTCTCTTACACTAAGCTAAGCGTTGTTTTTAGTATCCTCAGTTGAGGAGTTTGCTTTAGCTGCTGTTTAAAAAAAAAAAAAAAATCAACCTAGCACTGGCATATTCTAACAAAACAGCTCAGTGCTAGAAACGTTATTACTTTGAACACAAGCATCCTCACACTCACTTATATGGATCAACTGCCCAATGATTGCATTTAAATTAAATCTATAACATAGTTTTTCTCCAAGACGTGGCTTTCAGTAATGAAAAATGCTAGATTTGCAGCTGAAATAAGGACACAATCATTTTCTCCCTCAGCACAGTCTGGCTAAAAATAAACTTCAGTTTGTAGTTCCAAGTTTATATTAGTTTTCTATTTTTGTCCTTAATATTTTGCTATGAAGTGCTGCAAGAGCGGAAAACTAATTTAGCTGATAGCCTTTGAATTTTACTCAGGCATACTTGCAAACAGGTATTTGTTATGTGATATAGCTCCTTCTTCTCTCCTTGTGTAACTTGGCCCTGATGTGGCATCCCAGTCTGTCATTCCAAGTGTCTTGCCTGAGGAAAACTGATGGAATGGCTGCCAAAATCATAGCAAATCTTAGCACTGCTTAAACCTAGTCATAAATAGCTATGTTGATCAAAGTGTGCTTCATAAACATATGTGATTGGCATAACACAGATTTTCCCATGATTTTACTTAGATTATGGGTGTAAACATATTGATTATTTAGGCTGGCTATGGTTTGTTCCCTCTAAATTATTTAGATTCCATGGTAGCATACATGACAATATATACTGCTGCTCAACAGAACAAGAGGTTGAATTTAGCTTACTTATGTCAGAGTAAGCTGCACTGCTAAATCAACACACCTTTCTTCTTGTCACTGGACCAAATTGAAATGTTCAGGAATAATTTTATCAGGATAGAATTGTGGCAAAGAGATGACTCCTGAGATTGCCTAGGAGGTCAGATTAGGTCTTGGGGAAACTACTTCCCCGAGAATTAACGATGTTTGAAGCAAAGTATGATAAATCCACACCACAGCAAAATTTGTGAATGTCTCAGTGTAATTTTGGAATTGTGCATTAGTCTTTGATTAAGAAGGAAAGGATACTATTAAGTGTGCTAATATTATGGTGCAAGTCTGTCTTTAGGAAGCACTTGAGTGCTTCCAAACTGCATCTTAGCATCTCTACCATCCCACTGTAATGAAGCTCAAGGTTTCTCTGTTCTTCTGAGAAAAGATGGTAGTTTTTTAAAACATATGAAATTGAAACTTTTTAATACTTTATTATTTACAGTATCATCTTTTAATGAGTAGCATGGGCCAAAGCACATCTCTCAGAGCAGGGGGAGTAACTTCTTAATACCCATGCTATGTGTGGAGCCCTGCTGTCGGTGAACACATTGCATTTTCAATGCTTGTATCATGTACTTTTGTAGCCTAATTAAAGCATATCTGATGCTCTGCAATCCTATCTACAGTCAAGAAGCTCAAAGATCTCATGAGTTTTTCCCACAGTTAGGTCATATCAATAACACATCACACATTTTAAAATATGCCTTTCCCACAGTGTATACAATGGTGTAATGATAATTTTTAATGCATTTAAGATGGAAAATTTATCAGTATTTGATATAAGCATCATTTGATACATCTATATCTATCTCTATATATGTATATATAGTCAATATTTCTCATAGAGAACACATAATCCTGCCTTTCCCAGTGCCATCTATCACACTATTACAAAATCTGCTTTTTTTTTCTCCACACCAGGTCAGATGTTGCTATATTGTACAATGATCGATCTGTTCTTGAAAATCATCATGTAAGTGCTGCTTATAGACTCATGCAGGAAGAAGAGATGAACATCCTGGCTAATCTAAACAAAGATGACTGGAGGTAAGACTTGCTGTGACATTCAAAAATGCTTCCAGTATTTAAAAATAATAAAAACCACCAGGCCTTCCCTGTGGAGTTTATTTTAAGAGTTCAAATTACAGGAAGTTGACAGTGGAAAGAGTAATGGATATTTATAGCCTAGGGAAGGCTGCTGTGGTGCTAAGTACAGTTTGGGAGAGTCCGTGTAATTTTCCAAGTGAGGCTGTGCGTTTCTGAGGCTCAGTGCTGGAGTGTGTGGAGAGCCTCAGGTGAGATAGCTCCTCAGGAAAACCAAAATGCTGTCTGAGCTGGGTTGTCCTTGTCCAACATAACCAGTGGGTTGAAATCACAGTGCAGAGTCACTCTGCTGCCAGCTTGAGCACTACTGCTCCTGGGATTTCAGCATAGTCACATCTCAGTTAAGCATTAAAAAAAGAGTTGTGTGGACAGTCCAAAAATAATAAAGGACCAGAAGTGCTACAGGGATTTATTTTTCTTCTTAATTTTAGTGAAATTACTGAAGAAAATTTGGCCAGCTGAAAGAATAAGTATCCTAATTGATATATCACAAATAATAAGACCTGCAAGCCTAAAATTCAGGTAGTAGATTAAGACTCTCTCCATTATTAAAAAGGAAATGTTATCTTTGTATATCATTGATGGATACATACTGTATTTAAAATATGAATCTTCTGTGTTTTTCTGTAAACACAGATATTATTCAACAGCTCTAAAAAATCCCATGCAGACAGGTGGACTGTGAAGTTCAAAGAAATATATTCTGCTAGGAGGTCTCTCACTGTGAATGATGCTACCATGAATAACAAAGCTAAACTCTGCTTTATTTGGATTTTCACAAAATACAAACTTAAAATATATTTATGAAGGAATATATGAGCATCAGATCAAATTTTGCCAAGGTGTATATTTACAGATGTACTGATTTACATGGTAGATTTACATGATTTTACTTATTTACATGATGATAAGCCCCTAAATAAAGCATTTATTGAATATAAGTCTCCTGGCCATCCTGGATTTCAATTAATCATTATTCTGTACCTGTTTTAAAAAAATATTAAAGAAATTTATACATTTTTTATTTAAAGTGAGAAAGGAAGCATACATTTTTTATTTCTTTTAAAAGAATTCTTCTCAGAGGATACTCATTTAGATTTAATTATCAGAAAGTTTGTGTTGATCATTTACTTCTGGAGAAATTTCTCCAAAAGTAAATTGTAAACTTCATTTATAACTATCTACACACCTAGATTTTCAATGCCAACAAGAGCCAGCCTTACTCCTCTTGAAATTATTTTGGGCCTGGTAGTTTTGGGGTTTATTGGTCTCTGTGACCCTATTGTTGTTTTTCCTAGCTATTGAGTATAGACAAGATTATTGTGCCAGTACACAGCCATCAGAAACTCATATTCTGTCTTTTAACACCATCATTTCAGAGGGAAAATTATTTTCAACTCTTCAGACATACTGCCTTGAGTATGTTTTTTTGAAGTGGTGCTGTTATATTGCATCCTACCAGAGGGCGCTTCCGAGTAGAAAGGGGCTGCAATTCTTCAGCTGAATTTCAATCCAGGATGTTCCAAGGATGGCTTGAAAACACTTATATTCATCTCCAGTCCTGGCTTCTTCATCACTGGTGACCATCATTAATCAGTATAGTCTGAGAATCCCTGCAGCAACACACAATGGCTCCAGCTGATAGAAATCTGCCTGCCAGCTAGGACAGTTTATCCCAGTCATTCCTTTTTATTATGCCACTGAGGAGAAGAGTAATAGGATGAAACCCAAATATTTGCAAATGGAAGGAGGAACCTGTGATTTTCAGGTTGTGATGTTCATATATACTGTTCTGGTGGACTGCAGACAAAAGAAAAGGGGGAACGTGATAGGCTCTCTTCACACTTTTGAAGCACACTCTTCTTTGCATAGATTGTTTGGGAAGGTCTTCCCACAGTTCTTTGTCCAGGTTTTCCCACAGTTCTTTGTCCAGTTCAGTTGTGGATTGTTTTCTATAACTTTTGTTGCATTTTATTTCTCTGTGGTTTTTGAATCTGTGATAATCTACCACATTCTTTTGGAACTTGCTCAATCACACAATGGCTCTGTTTACACTTCCTTTTCCATCTCTTCTCACTGTAACTTGATTATGTTTTCCTAGAAGATCTTACTTGAGTTTTGCTTTTTTTTTTTGTGTAGAGTGGCTACACAGATTCTATTATATGCAGCCAGTTTGAAGCTGGTGACATTTGGCAACCAGTGAAAAGGAGAATTTATCAACTCTTTTTGGGCATATTCAGTAAAATGTAGAAGAAATGTATGAATTGACTAATAAGCTAAAGAAGCTAAACTAGGACATTCAGTTCCATGTTTTGTCACTTAGCTCAGCAATTACAGTCTGTACTTTGAAGCAAGCAGTAAATTCCAAAGTGCTGGTCTGTGCCAACCTGCACAACCTGTTGCAGTGTGATACATCAGTTTAGAGGGTCAGTCATGGAAATGACAGTTTCCTGGAATTAATTTCTAATATCCAGAAATTCCTGTTACCTCGTCATTTCATGGGTGCAATGATGGATCTGGTAGCCACTTAACAAACTCTTCAATTTTCTTATTATTACTTGTGTGAGCTTCTTGGATTTATACTGAAATTCATGCTGTTAAACTAACAGGTTTGATGGCTGCACTGAATCAAGTTGGCAGTAAATTGAAATGATAATCTGTTCAACTTTTTAATGTACTTCCTGGCACTGATTAATTTCTTTACTTCTGTCATATCTATTTTCTTTAGTTGCAGCAATTTCAATTTTCAAAAATTTAACGCTGCTGACTATTTAAATTGAGGTTCTGCTAATTATTCTAGCAAGATGAAGCAAAATTACTGAAATTACTTTATAGTATTCCATTTTGTCTTCTACATGTTAACTTTAAGAAGAAAAATGTGCTAATAAACTTCCAGCTTCAATTAAGTTTAAAACTTAGGCTTCTGGTCTGAGCTGGGGAACACTGCCAGCATTAAGAGGATGTCCTTTGTGGATAATGCATGTGACATTCATAGAATTTTTTCAGTCTTTTCTTGACTCTGAAAATCAATTCCAGTCTTTGATATTGTTTTTTTCACTTAGTGTTCTTAAATAATTAAAGTGGGATCCTCATTTTTCCCCCTTTCTCCTTTGATTTACCAGATTTCTGGTGTTCCAGCACCCCATGCGTAATGTCTTCGTAGGTGGTGAGGTAGTATTAATGTCTGAAACCATCCCAATCATAAGGCATACAGTGCCTTGTTGCCTGATTATACAAAGAAAAAGACAAATAAAACAGTATGCATTATATATTATGCAAAATGAACAACATTATTTCATAAAGTCCCTTCAGATTCCTCTGTCTGAGGACTCCTGTAACTTGAAGATGAGGCTTATGTCTTCAGTTCCCACCTTGCTTTTGCTCATATTAGTCTGTTCCTGCAATTTTTTTTATTAGTTTCCAGCTAACTGAATGCCTTTGTCATGGACAAATCCAGGTAAATCTAGTTTCTATTTATTGGCTAACTATTTTTTCAAGAAATTCATGTGCCACTCCTTGTCTCTTTATTACAGCATTGTTCATGTAGGACTTACAGCCATGGGAGGGTTGAGAAAGGATGCCAGCACAGAACATGACAGTTTAATTAAGTAAAGTGGAGATGGTAGGCTCAAACCCAGTAATCTCCTGATTTTGGGCCTGAAAGATTGCCATGTGCTGTACGTGAATATTGATACTTCCCTTTATGGTATGACAACATCTATGTGTCTTTTTGCTGTGGTAGCAGGAACCTGTGTTATCCTGAGGCTTGTGGCTGGGGACTGCCTAAGGAGGATCGGGAGAGATTTCTGTCCAGGAGTTACCTATGACACCAGCTGAGGTCTCCCACAATGTGGAAGTTGAGACAGTCTTTTTTCCCTAGGAAGCAATTTGGTAATAGAATCAGTCCAAGATTAACCTTCTGTGCAATGACAGCAGATGAAGCATCTGTAGCTTCAGTAGGGCTTTACCTACCATTTCCCCATCAGGTTTCAATTTTCTATCCTCTTAATTATGGTGCATATGGGCATAGGCAGTTAACAACTGCAGGAATCTCTCTTTTGCTGTTAAGCAGATTTTTAGTGGCCTGAAAACTTCAGGAGTGTGTGATAGGACAGTGCTATACTGTTTATTCATTATTCAGGTGTTGTAGGTAAGAATTAGGGTTTTTTCCTGCAGCCATGACAATATGAATAAACCAAAAGTGTGGTTTTGCTTCTCTGTGTGTGTCTTGCATAGTAGGGGTGAGGTGTCTTGTGAGTAGGGGTGAACTTATTTCTGATTATTCTAAAAAGTTCAGACATTGAAAGTTCTTAAGAAAATCTCCTATGGAAAGGAGAAGTGAAAATTATCTCAGTCTTAAAAACAACAGGGTTTAACAACGCAGAGCCCTCATTTCTCTTATAGTGTTAGCTGGGGTTTTTTTGTTTGTTTTGTTTTTATTTTTGATGGGTTTGACTGTTTTTGAAAGGTAGACTTTCAAAGCAATGTGGAGGAGGAACAGCTGGGATGCAAAATAATTAATATATTATTATCAGGTCAAAAAAGGCATTTTCTAAACACAAGTTGCTATGGCTGCATATTACTGAGTAGAAGTGAGAGCACTGGGTCTTTACCCAGTTACATTAAAGCAAATCAGGAATATATACATAAAAATCAGTGACAAATATCTGCTTAAATGTGTAATTAATTTCAATCAAAATAAATCTTGATATTCTTTATAACAAAGTATTCTAACAGCCCTAAAGAAAACTGCAAATTACCTCTTTAAAGCTCAGTCATTTGAAAAAACTTGCACGTTTTTTGATTTACTCAAATCAAACATATGAACAATATCAAAGATCAGTGAGAATGACTAAAGTAGGATTTTACTGTTGTATTTGATACTTGGACATCCTTAAGATTGAGGGTGTGCTCATGAAGATATATGGTGCAGAATGAAAGGTTTAATGTGGTAAGTTCCCCATATACAGATACGCAGCACTTGTCCTAGGCAATTTAAAAAACATATAAATAAAGACCCACTGGACTCCTGCATGGCCTATATATGATCTTTCTACATCAAGGAGACAGAATGTTCTGAGTCAGTAATTATTGTTGACAAAATTAATTTAATTTCCTATTAACAATCAGAATAAAGTTTATTATACTGTTCATGTTTTATTAGTTTCATATTGATTTAATAGAAAGCTGATGGACAAGCCAACATCTCTATTCATAATTCCAAGACAGATATAAATTATTAAACCCAACCTTGTTCTGATTCACTAAACAGGTACCACAGTACTTTTGGAATGAAAGGTAGTTTGTCATAATGATCTTGGTGTAATTTTGATAGTTTTTCAGATATAATACCTTTTGCTCTTCTGAGTGTTTCCTCTCACTCTTCTGAGTGTTTCCACAGCCTTCTTTCTAGGTTTAGTGTTACGCACACTCTTCACTAATATGAGGGCAGTAATAATGTATCCTGTTGTGTGGTGGTAAGCCCAGAAAACAACTTGTTTTTATAATACACTACTGCTGGAAAAAATAAAGAATGACTTATAATGGGTGAGAGAACTGCATGTAATATTAGTTTATGCACTAGGAAATAGGATTTACAAAACAGTGTGACTCTGAAATAATGACTGCAGAGTACATTCTCTGAGGTACATTGCTTTCACAGAATCCCTTGAGGATACAATCTTCAAGTTGTTAATAATTTATTTAAATGCTTTTTAAAATGTAATAAAACCCATGATGTTGTTTTGAAAGTTATAAATTAACAAATACTGCTTAAACAAATGTACCATACATAGAATAAATGAATTTTAATCCGTCATTTTGCTTTTAATTATTCTTAGGGAGTTGCGTAGCTTGGTCATTGAGATGGTCTTGTCTACAGATATGTCGGGTCATTTTCAACAAATTAAAACAATGCGACACACTCTACAGCAGGCACAGGGGTAGGTTATTTTCCATTCTGTTCATTATCTGTAGTCTTTCAATGAGCTCATATTCAAGAAAAGAATTTAAAGAGTTGCTTTTGTTTTGAGATAATTGGAGCATGTCCTTGAATTGACAGGGTAGACAAAGCCAAAGCCATGTCTTTGATTCTACATGCAGCAGACATAAGCCATCCAGCAAAATCCTGGGAACTGCACTACCGGTGGACCATGGCCCTGATGGAAGAATTTTTTCGACAGGTGCCATTTTTAAAATCCTTTAATAAATTTAGTTCAAGAAGCAATAGTTACATGACTGAATATTTTTTAAGTCTTTCAGCAAGGTTGCTGTTGGTTGTGATTGACAAGCATAGTCAGTAGTATATATCCTTTATTCTTCATACATACCACTGACATTAATTCAACTTTTATGTGTGTGAATAAGACAAAATGGTTATAGCTCTCTATCTATTTCAGTTGATATCAGTATTCTGAGTGTTGTAGTGGGGTTTTTTTTCTTTCAATTATAATATAACTTGTCAAGCTGTTTTCATTCTGTAGACAGAGATTTATATATGCTTTGAGTTATAAAGAAGCAGAAGGATAGGGTGAGAGAAAATAGGAAGAATTCATGTTCAGCAAAGAAGGCAAAAAGTTGTCTCCATTCCACAAGTCAGAAAGCCCTTCTATTTCTTTTCCTTGCTAGTATTTGCCATGCATATACCACATAGATCTGAAGGTGTTGCCCTCATAACAGCCTGATCCAAAGTCAGAGGTTAGACAGTACCATTCTGTTAATGCTGAGACCATATACCCTAAACCAAAAATGAAGACACACCATTGTGAAAGCCTTTTCATTTCTGTGAGGTACTGAATTCCAAGAGAAAACCCAGTAGATGTTGGTGTCACTGCTGTCCTTTTTTGATTCACCTCAGCACGTGAAACAAAAAACATTTCTCCAGAGAGAAGATACTCTCCCTGTAATCAATATTTGCAACCATGCACATTGTCAGCATAACAGTTACTGAAGTAAAATTGATACTCAAAATTCAGTTTAGGAATGACAGTTTCTGGACTGATGCACAGATTTTAAAAAGGGTTAATACAGGTCAGGGAACAGTGTATGTCTTGCTCAGCTTGATTGTCTTAATTTTACTATATACTGACATTTTCAAATCAGAAGGATCACACTGGAAAAAGGGACCAGAGAATAAAAAAGAAAGTATGTTAAACCTTGAGGTTGTTAGACCCATCTACTGTATAAGTTTTCTGCTCAGGTCCTGGAGAATCTGCGTATGAATTCTCAGTAGGGAGCATCAGGGCATCCCTGACTCTGGGCTTTGCACTGGGGAGGCAAACTGGAGAGCTGGTGCCTTAATATAAATAATTAATGGACTGAGTTTTGTGGAAATAATGAGCAGTCATGAGTTTGTGTCTGCTTCTGTCAAGGGAAATGTTAAGGATTTTAAACTTGAGAGCAAAAAGGAGGAGCGGATTGCCCAAGCAAAAGTCATAAAATGGCAACTGTAAGAACATTTTACACACAGAGAGACAGACTAGACAGGGCCCATGGGACAGTGAGGCAATGTGTCCAGCCAAGTGGAGGTAGCATCAGCAGTAAACAGTACCACACTGGTCACTGAATGCCTAGGACCAGCTAATGTTTTAGTTATTCCTTTATTCACTAGAAGAAGTGACTGGATCCCAAAGAAGCTGCTCAAAAACTCAAGAAGGCATTTAACAATAGAACAGGTAAAATTGTATATGTGGTTGCAATTCAGCAGTAAAAAATATGAGTCTTCCAGGCTGCAGGGGAGTGTATAAGAAACAGAATTCTTTCCATGTACTGCTAAGGACTGTGTGTGTGGAGTTGTTCCAGCACTTTTGAAGTGTGATGAAGTATCAGCACATATATAAATGCGTTGAACAGTGAGGACTCAGTAGGTCTCCTACTTCCTAGAGGATGCACTAGCTTGTTGTGCATCCTCTGGTCTTTTGATCTGAGCCTGTGTGATAGAAATTTCCAGGATTTCCAAATCTGTTCCAGCCAAGATGAGGTAGTCCGAATGTATATAAAACTCCTTAATTCCTCCTTTTCTTTAAAGATAGTAATTCACCTACTTCTGTGCCTTATGGGAAAAGCAGTAGATTCTGAAACACCTGATGCAAATCCAATGCTTTCACAGGCAGCTTTCAAAGTAGTGAGAACCAGCAAAAAAATAAACATTCACCTTGTCGAAAATGTTGTTAACTGCAGCTAATGGTTAAAATATGTGCCAGTGTTAACTTCAGGAAATAAAGCCCAGCAACATTCTAAGTTTAAAAGTAACAGCTACAGAAAGTATATTGTAATACCAAGGAAAATCTGAGTTACTTGTTTAAAATGGAAGTACAGCCACCCATCTCAAATCCTTAAAATTAGAGAAATAAATAGTTCAGGTAACTCAATGAAATAGCACAGTGCCTATAGCACTCTACACTCAGTCTGAATAAATCCAGAGACATTAAAAGAGAGTTAAAAATGAGTCCAGGGCCCAGACAAAGAATTTTTTTTACTGTTTGATTTCCATCTTGTTTTTAAATCTCATTAAATTCTAACAACTAGTTTAAATATCAGTGCTGTGTCCATTATTACAATTTACAGTAATCTTAGACTGAAGTGACACTTAAGTATTAATCATTATTATGTTGATTGCAAATTAATTCATAATTGGAGTAGAGAGCTACTTGAAAACAACAAAAAAAACCACACAACTAAATTCATCCATTATTAATGTGGAATTTTCTCTTTTTTAATACCTTTAGATGAGAAGATTGCAAAATTAACATTACTTTAGAAATTCTGTATTTAACCATGGCTGAAATAGTTAGAACTACCCCAGTTTATATGATATTACAATCTGGCCCCTGTATTTACATGGACGTGCCACTCCCACTGCTGAAGTAGCAGGTCTTCATGTGTTCTTCCACACTCTGGGCTCATATTATTAACACTTGAGTATAAAATTTAACGGCCTTAGTGATAAAGCTCTCTCCGCTATCACATGAAATGCAATCTGTGAGTTGCATCTGTTCCTGTGGCTGGATTGGTTTTACTGCTTTTGTGGTCCTAGACCTTTCCCAAATGCACTTCAATGATACATGATAAAAAGACTAAGGAAGGTTGATACTGCCCCCTTCATCCATCAATTTCTATTTTCCCAGTTTTCCTTGGGAGAATGGTATGTTTATGCAGTGCTCCCCACTGAATGATCATCTAACAGCACTCTCCATGACAAATACTTAGGTTTATTTGACTTGCAAGACTAGGTTTTCCTGTATCTATAATGTCAGTGCTTCTGGCAGCCAGGGCAGCAGCAGCACAAATTATAACCTCCTCTGAAAGACATCTCTTCAGGGTTTTCAGTTTTGGGGTTTTTTTGGTGCCACTGTATTTACATGGACGTGCCACTCCCACTGCTGAAGTAGCAGGTCTTCATGTGTTCTTCCACACTCTGGGCTCATATTATTAACAGTTTGAATATAAAACCTTTCTTTTTGAGGTTTTGCAAATCAGTTGGTCTACCATGCTGAAAATGGAAATACACCCTCCTGCCTGTTAAGACTTGTAACAAAAAAGACTCCTCTAATCTGCTAAGAGCTGAAAAAATTTCAGAGCTAGGTTGTACAAATCATTCTCGTAAATTAAACTGAATTTGTATTTTTTTGTGGCTTCAGCAGTAGAGAGTAATGCCTGCTAGTGAGAATGAGTTTGAGTCAGTTCATACACTTGACCTGAGTAAATCCACTGAAGGATTTTTACATGCTGAATGAACCAATGTAATAGAAGGACACATTCAGCATTTGGCACACTATTACAAACATGTCTAAGTATCTCTAGTCCCATTACATCTGGGATCAGCAGAATTAAACTGTGAATACAAGGACTTCATATATTTTAAATCTCATTGGCAGATGCCTTGCTGTTGAGAACTTGATCGCATTAATTTTCTTTACATAAAAGTTGCCAAAAAGTAATCAGAATTTAGACTCTTAATCAAAATTTAAAGATTTGAAGATTTGTCTCCAACTTGTTTTTATTTAGGAATATAAATTAATTAAGTGATCTGTTGAATAAATACTAAGAATATTCAGATTCCTTTGTCTCTCTGTCCCTCTATCAAATATATGCTTATAATATTAAACATTGTTGTTTACAGGGAGACAAGGAGGCTGCTTTAGGTCTTCAATTTTCCCCACTTTGTGACCGCAAGTCCACTTTGGTAGCTCAGTCTCAAATAGGTAATGACAAACTGTGTTTTTCTTTCTTTTGTCTCTGTATTCACAAAACATTTTCATTTGCCAGTTTTGAATTTAAATGTTCAAAAGTCCATCATATGGAAGGTATTTCTTTGCACCTATCCGTTCACAAAACTTGTGTGCTTTTACAGCTTGTCTCAAAAGGGCATGATGTAATTTCACCATGTGTGCAGGAGGGGTAGGAGAAGGATTAACCAAGGATGATCAACTTAAAGCTAATTAATAAATCAGCTCTCTGGACTGCAAGCAAGCCTGTCAGTGTCTCAGGGTCAAACTACAAAGGGTCAAGCCTCCCTGGGTTGACAAGGACCACTGCAATCTGTCACTTTACCTATCCTTTATTCCATTTCACTGGGAGTTTGGAGCCAGTATGCTTGAGCATCATATCTACTGCAGGAGAGAAGCTGGATCCTAGACTGAATCCCTGTTGCTCACCTTCACACTGTGTTGCATGGTTAGAGCATGAAGACATCTGGAAATCCATTGCTAGCTCATGTTTTAACATATTTTTTTTCTGTTAAGTGCTCAGTAGAGAATAATGCTTCATTCTCTCACTGTGTCATCCCATACCGTGATGAGCACTTTAGAATGTAAAAGACATTGTTCAGAGCTGACATCTCAGAACAGTGGGATGAATGCTGTCTCCTAAGGATATTACTTGTTCTCTTCACTGATTTGACAGAACCCTCCTACACACTGTGAAATAACACTTTACCTCCACAGAATAATAAACAGCAATTTGAAATATTAACTCCTTGGCAAGAAGCTCCGAATGGTAAAAGAGACAGCCTGACTTGTAGCACTCTGGCTCAACAGTAGCTTTCCTTCTATTCAATAATTAACACTCATTTCAAATGGTAGGTGTGTTCTGCAGTGCATAAAATTTACAAGAAAAAATAATGAAAAGCTGTAATTATTAATATCTACTTATATCTGTACAGCTTCAGGTGTTTTTTTTTGTTTCAATTGTACTTTTTTCTTCAAGACTATACTGGAGGTATCTAATATAGTGGGTTGGGACTACAGTTAGACAATCAGCCCAATAGCAAGTATTAATTTTTAGATTTGAGACTTGTGGAAATGTAAAACCTGATTTTCTCTCTTTTCCTTTATTAGGTTTCATTGATTTCATAGTAGAACCAACATTTTCTCTTCTTACTGATTCAATGGAGAAAATTGTTATGCCTCTTATAGAGGAAGCGACAAAATCTGAGAGTCCTGCATTTGGGACCCCTGGGTATGAATACACTGCTTTGTTATTGAACTAACATAATAATCATGATAATGTGATTCTCAGAGTCATCTCGGTGATTTGAATTTGGGGAAGTAACAAACAGCTGTGCAGTATTGCCACCCTGTGGGGCTGTGTTGTACTTGCAATGTTAGCACATTTCACCCCATTGACTGAGCAGTTGTACATATAAAAAGGCAAAACCCCAATAATCATCAGAATAAACACATACAAACCATGACATTTATTTCTACAATTTTTTAATATAATCCTTGCAATAAGCTATTGAAATTTCTGTACCTATAAGGCAAAGTAGCTACGACAGTGTAATCTGAGTGTCTCCTTGCTGAAAGCATTGTTGAATAATCAGATACTGCCTTTACAAGTACTGCCTCTGTTATCACATTTCGTTTTAAAACTGTAATCTGAGCTTTCACTGCGATTACTAAATGATAACTTTGCAAGGCAATTTTTCATTTGCTACACATCAGTTAGATTTCAGTAACAAAAGGGTGAGCCTAGCTCTTTCCTATATTTTGCTTGCTAGAAGCAAAAGTTGCTAGAAGTAGGTATTTATGATGGTGTTCTTAGTGTTTTGGGGAACAGTGCTAAATCAAGGCATTACTGATAACATATTTGTTTACATACTCCTTCACAAACGAGTGATTAGCAGCTGAAAATGATTAGCAGCTTCAGGCTTCATTTTTGGTTGATGTTCATGACTGAATGGTAAATGAAAAAAGGCTTATGATCCAGCAAAACTTCCTCATGTGAGATGGAGGATAAAGGGATTTTTTCTTTGTATGGAATCAAGTGCCACACTTCTGAGTGTGGAGAGTGGAGTTCTGAGGAGAGTGGAGAGCCTATAGCACGATAGGAAAAGTCTGAGCCAGAGAACTGCACACTCACTGCTGCATGGACACCATGAGATGGTGCCTGGAAAGCATTAGAATTTTGGCCTGTTCTTTCCATTGTATCCTATTCAACATCTCTGGAGCACATGGATCTCACATTTAACTCTTCTAGTGAAGTTCTTGTTGGTATGATCACTGCAATTATTTTCTGATTAATGGAAACCCATTTGTATGCATATTAACATCTGTCTGTAGTACCAATGAGATAAACCATGCAGCAAAGTTGAGTAAACAAAACCTATTAAGACGTGAGTATCTATTCGAAAGAGGTCTTATTTTTTAATTCTAAGAAAAAAAAGAGCATTCATTCTTTTTTCCCCACCTTTCCCACCATATACACCTATGGATGATTTCATTCCTACTTACCTGTAGGTGTAAAGTGGCTGCAGTTGCTGTTAAGCAGATTTTAAAGCCACTTAAATCTTGCTTTGACTACACTTTTGAAGGTTTGTAGCTTGAAGAGAATTTTCAGTTCAAGCAAAACTTACCTGTTTTCCTTTTTTTAAATGGGTCAAAAAACAATGATCAGATGTCTTTCCTGTGGGACCCAAAGATACCATTCATCATTCAAAAACACAGATTAACAGCTGCTCAAAAATGGCTGTGTAAACATCCTTTTAAGAATTGGATTACAAGTAATGTATTTTCAGCTGTCACATATTTTCAAGAATTCTCTGGAAAATGGTCAGCAGGACATCTTGTATCTTAGGCACACTCTGGTAAAAACTTTTTTCAAATTAGTTCCTAAGCAACTTGATTGTTTGCGTATTATTAAAATTGCCTGACTGTGTTTATAATTTGGAGTTTTTTTCCCTTGTCCAGCCAAAACAGTTTGGGAGGAGTAAGCAATGCTGAAGCACAAAGACGACCTGGGTTTAAAAGTACAGGTGATGGAGGAGCTCACGCAGAAAATTCTCTAGCAACTGTAGACCTAAGGGGCTTCAGGGACAATTTAATGAAGATCATTCAAGCAAACAAAGAAAGATGGAAAGAATTAGCAGCAGAAGGTATGATATGTTAAGGTGGAATGTTTTAATAGGTTACTCCCTAAGATCTCACCAACTTTCATTTTTTTAAAAATTTCTATCAACTTGTAAAAATGCATAGTTGTCTTGTACTCATATATTTTATGTCTTAATGTTTGTTTTAGATGCTCCTGTTTTGCTCTCCCGGGAGGTCTAAAGAGGTGTAGGTGGTTAGGGGATGAGTGTAAATTGTATAGCCTTTGCAATCAGGCTCTGTGCTGCATAGTTTATCTTTAGAGGTTTGGTTTAGAAATGTGCATTCTTGCACTTTTAGTTGTAACTGATACTGACATCTGCTTTAAATGCCAAAATCAACAATTCAAAGTGGTGTGTGCTGCCACATTACTTCAGAAACGTAAAAAAAAGTTGTACTCTGCTATCAGAAATGCTATTTGTTCCCCACTGTATGGAAAATTCAGTATTGCAGGCTTCTTGGAACTGTGCTGTAGGCAATTATTTAAATGACCCAGTGGATCTAAAGATTTGGGCAACCACTGCATGCATTAGACCCAAGCAAGCCAAAAGTGACTCTTCATTTGCCAGCAGATAGTTAATAAAGCCAAACCTGCACTGAGCATCTTAGTTCATCAGCCATATCTGAAAGTTATCTGAAATTACAGTTACCTAAGTGAAATGCTATTCAGTCACCTGAATGATAACTGTTAGAAAGAGTTTATAGCTTCAACCCAGGCTAAGTGAATGCCATTTGGGAATATTTTGTCCACAGTCTGTATTATTTCCTAGTAAGTACCTGGAATATTTTAGCATAGCATTTCACTGCTGAGAATGGTCTTGCTGCACATGACCTGACACTGACAGCTGGGAATACTATCCTGGAACCCAGTGCCAGCTTTGTTTTTCATCCCATCATCCAAATCAACATCTTTTTTTCCTAAAGAGGTGTCAGACAAGACAGAAAAACAGTGCTGAGCAGTGATAAAATGTATTTTAGTGCTAAATTGAAAATGAATATTCTCATTAGGAGGATATTAAGAATAAGCTTCCATACATAAATCTTTTGTGACAAAGGTTTGAAAGAGTCAGGTGGAAGGGATATCTGAGGAGAGGATTCCATTAATATTGTCCCTCTTCATGAGAAGCTTTATATAACCAATTGCTTCTTTTGCTGTTGCTCAACTAATAATGGCTGGTCAAAAGGAAAATAACTGCCCATTTGCAGTGGTCAGTAATAATAGACCATCAAGGCCACTTAGCTACAGCCTGCAGAAATCCAGCAGCCCAGAGCTGGTGTCATGAAAGGTCCTTCAATGTGGCGTAATGGAGAACTTGTTGTCTGGAAGTTTGCCATTTCCAGTTACACAGAACTAACCAGTTTGATTCTGATTTTTGGTAAGTTGTTCTGGAGGTATACAGTGCTATCAAAGGGCACTGTTTCCCCTTCATTTCCAGTGCTTTGTTTTGCTCTATAAATTACTGATACAGTTAGCCCAATTTTACTGGACTGTTGACAGGCATTGAAAAGACAAAGTTACTTGCAGCAAGAGATTTAAAAAATATTATGGGTAAGATTGCAGTCAATATCAATGTGAAGCCCAACAAAATCCAGGAAACTCTGTGTTGCTAAAGGACACGAAATGATTCACACAAACACCTCTCGGTGTCAGAACAGAAAAGCAGTCTTTTGTTCTCTGACTCCAGTATTCATAGATTCTCGACAATGACCAGGGATTCGATAATTAAGTTACCACCTTCCCAATCACACTGGTCATGTGAAACATCCATCAAAAGATGATTCTTAGAAGGAATGTGGTAAACAAGTCTATAGAACTTTCATGGAAAGTAACTAAAACTATGAAACCATTATCAGAAGGCTTCAATTTCCAGGGCGACAACTCTGGGCATGCTTTGTACTCTGACAGAAATGTTAATGTTCAAGGCTCCATGGATTTTTTTGAGATTGTGGTTGTCCTAACCTCCTTTTCTTCCATCAACTTGAAGAATGAAGCATGTCTAAGTACTTCCTGAACAGAATTATGGAATTGCAGTAAAACCTACATTAGGGAAGCTAATGGGTAAGTGAAAGTAGCTGATGTTGGGGCCAGAGCCTGATGAACAATATTGTCCCTGTGTGATTGTGGCTGAATCTGTTTTTTGAACCACTCTGCGAGGAAAAGATTTATAGAAATCTGCTCCACAAAGAAGCTACCTGCAGCAATGTCTGCAGTTGACTGGAGCATGGCATAGAAACCTTCAGGGTGCCTGATTAGCCTGTAGAGGAGACCTTGTTAATAATGCAAATACTCTTGAGTACATGTTTATATTTTGTTTAACAAACAGATAGTAAGGGGTTTTTTTATTTTAATTAACAGCTGTGGGGTGGATTATGTAGGTTTTATGGAATAAAACTTTGTCTTTTCCATTCATTTGGAATGGAATGTCCGCATACATAGTCCATACGTGGGCCCTAAGGACTGCTGTAAAAGAGATTTTTAAGTAACAATAGCTTTCTATAGAGCATTTTCTGAGGGAGCACATAATCCTTGTTACTTAGTGGAAAAGGGAGTCTTCTTCAACAGGTCCCATATATCTGCTCTGAAGCTGTACCCTGAAAAGGCTGAGAATCCTTAACCAGGCTGTGAAAAATTAACATCTAAAAGATGTTAATTGATGTTAAAAGATGTAAAGAATAAAAAATATTGCAATGCATCCCCCTTCCACTTTAAATTCTTTTCAGATTAACCAAGTCTGACTAAGCTTGTAAGTGAATAACCTGAGTTCTTGAGCTTCAGATATTAGTCCAATCCTGTCTAGATCTCATGCTGCCTTCTCTGACTCCATGCTTGATGAAAAATCCTTAGGCTGCTTTGGGCATACGTATGAAATTGTGTTTTATTCATAATTCAGTAGGAGAATGTACTGATGAAAGAGGTGTCAGAGATAAATCACTACCAGGTGAAAGAAGTGCTATCATTGTTCCTAGCTAGATAATTTATGACAAGTCACAATTTGCTGAATGCACTGAGGAGGTCACACATGTGAGGGCTGTGTTATGATAGTAAACAGGCTGGCTCTCAGTGCAGATCTTCAAACACACTTCCTGAGCTGACTATGACAAACAGAGCTTGTGCTTTTGAAGGAGCCATCTGCATTCTTGTCAGTGGGCTCTGCAAACACCAGATATGGTTCCCAGTTTAGTTCACAGGCTCAGGAGAAGTTGTCTCTAGAAAATGTAGTACTACAAATGCACAAGGAATACAGAAAGGAAACTAGCAGCATTCCATATAATTTCCTGAGGGTCACCTGAACTCATGCCAGCTTTTCAGGATAAGGTTACACATGTAGCACTGGTGGGAGGCAGTTCAGCTGGAGCAAGGGCTTCCCTAGCAAGAGCAAGCAACTTGTGCAAGGAACAGCATGCTTTGTTTCTGGAAAGGCCTGTATTAGTAAGGAGAGTGTTTATCTACCTAGGCAGGTGTTTGAAAGCCTCCTTAACAGAAGGTTCAGTAAATAGGATGGCTCCACTTTGCTAAAAAGGCCATGTCTTGTGTAATTGAGGCAGAGGAGCTCAGTGCTCTATAGCTTTAGGGTCTTCAACCTTTCACCACTGGAGAATTAGAGGAATGTTTCTCAGGCCTTTCAGGGAATGCTGTTAACAGGGAATTACCATAATGATCAAACATCTGGGATTCTAATTTGAAAGCCTTGATGTTTAATTAATATTCCAAGCCCCAGTCACCAGATAATCTGTCTCTGTTCAACTCAACACAGCGATAAAGAAACTATTCCATCCTGTGCTTTTTTCAACACATATTATTGGTGGCTGCTGCTGTTTGCAGTTACTGTATTGTAGCAAATGGACAGTAAATGTGCTCAGATGTATCTGAGAGGTTCTTTCATTAGAGAATATGTGTTCTTAATGGATTTTAAGATCCAAAAGTTATTGACCTACTGAGAAAGCTGTAAGAAGCACAAAACTTGTTGGGAAAGATTTAACTATCATGTAAGATCCTTCATGGTGCACTTCTTAGAACATAATTGTTTACTAGAACACAATTATTTAATATTTTAAAAATACAATGTTTATTCCTTTACTCATACTTAGCTTGTTGTATAAAAATGTTCCAAAGATTTACTAATAAAGTTGGTCTGTGCTTGGCAAGCTCAGGTACTCTTAAGAGAATGTAAGGATACAGACTAATAATTGTGTTTGCTGATTTGCACGCTTTAATCTCTTCAGTAGATATCATTGTAAATAAAGTTACAGGGATAAAAAAGTATCATTATTTTCTGTTTATAGTGAACAGTAACAGGCACAGACAGCTCAGGACACTCACCTGAGGTCCTATAACAACACAAGGGTATGCAGAACAACACGCCAAAGGTCCAGCTGCCAATCAAATGAGCCCGTCTTCAGGATAATACAATAGCAGTTGTATTACAAACTTATTGTTTTCATCTTATGCTTACATAACTCTTCTGAAGAATTAAGTGTTACAGGGCCTGACCCAAGGGTGCATTATCTGTATGGAAAGACATCACTGGCAAATGACTTTTGGCAGTGCAGCGGGCTGCATGGCTCGAAAGTGTATGCCTGGGATGACTGACCCCATCAAGGTGGGATGAAACATATGTGAGGCTGAACAAGCCTCTCACACTGTCCTCTGCTTAATTTTGATGGTAAAAATGTGACAAAATATCAACTAATGCATCTTTGGAGTAGACATCAGCTTTTTTTAACCCCCACGGGCAGCAATTTTGAATAACAAATGTCTCTTCTGAAAGACCTATGCATGGCACCTGCAGGCTCCCCTCGGGCACTTTCAGTTCTGCATACTTCCAGTCACAATAACCACAGGGTTCAGTTCCATTTTGTCTGAAATATTTTCTCTGCAGACTCACTAACAAGAAGAGAGTAGCAGCTGCTGAAATGTGAAAATCTGAGAGTGATGATCTGATAGCATGTTAATGTGACTTAGCAGCCGCTAGGAAGGGCGGGCCGTGGGAGGATGTGTGTGACAGTC